TTTTTATTTTTAGAAATATAATTACACGCTCTAATTGTATTTTTAATATTAAATTTTATAATTTTAATTAAATTATTTAGTTATTTTAATCTTAATTTATAATTTATTTTACTAATACACTTTTTAATTACTTAATAATTATACTTTATCTAAATTCTCGTTATACAGTAATACACCCAAGTTACATAAGATGGAGGGAGAACTATATTAGTTATATTTTATAAAGAATTAATTTTTAGAATATTTTGACTTATTTTCTAATATTTAATATTCTTTTACTTATTATTTATTTATTACTCTCTCCGTCTCATGTATTTTGGGCATATAAATACAAGAATTTAGATAAAATATAATTAGTAAATAATTAAAAAAATTATTAGTAAAAATAATTTTAGATTAAAATTAAGATAATTAAATAGTTTAATTAAGATTAAAAAAATTATTAAATTTAAAATTTAAAATGTAATTAAAGTGTATAATCGTATTTCGAAAAAAATAACAAATTATGTGGGACAGACAAAGATAGAAAATATGAATAAATTATGTGAGATGGAGAAAGTATATTAGTTTCTATTAATTTTTTAAAAAATATGTATAAAAGACAAAAAAAAAATCAGTTAAAAGTATTTTAAAAATTAGGGTGTATTTGTTTTGTGAAAGTGTTTGAAAATATAATTTTTTTTACGTGAGATATAGAGAAATATATAAGTAATATAAAAATAATTAATATATTATATATATTAATTATGTGGGATAGACGAAAATAAAAAATAACAACAAATTATATGGAACAAAGGAAATATCATTTTATAGAATTTTTTTTTTTATATAAAATAGTATAAAATAAAAAAAAATATTAATATTATTATGTAAAATAAAATAAAATAAATAACAATGTATAAATATATATCTTATCAAATACAATGACTAGGATGTGATATATATTCTCAAATCCAATGTCACATCATCATCATTATTTTTTCCTATCACAATTTCATATTGAATACGGGTGTGTTTAAATGGAACACGCCCGTGTTTGTATAAATATGACAATAATTTTTTTTTTTTATTAAAATATCACGATCGTGTTATAGTTAACATGGCCGTGTTTGTTCCAGATTATATACCACGCCAGTTTCCGTTAAGTCCACGTCAGCATATTCCGTTGAAATTTTAACGGTGAGACCAAAAATGATATTTTCTTTTTTGTATAGGACTAATTTTGATAGTTATTTTTTAATATGACCAAAAATGAAAAAAAATAGGTTTGATTGAGACTAATATTGATTTTTACTCTATTTTTAATCGCAAGGTATGTTAACAATTTGAAGTGGTTCTAAATTAATTTAGGGTAGGGAAAATCGTATTTTTTTGGCGTTGGAAGAGACGTTTTCAATGGTGTTAATCTGTACGAACTATAGATTTGGATTGAGTTTCTTCTCCATATTAAGCCACTCAAGCTTCAATTCCTATGTATGTGTTGAATTTTTGTTGTTGTTTAAAGTTTTAGATTTTAGTTTAGTTTTTATGTTTTTAAAAAACATAAAAAAATTGATTTTTTATTTCCGTTTAACAATTCCAAAAGGTTTAATTTGGCTTGGAGGACATCATAGCACCATTCATGGTATGGTTTGCATGCCATTCCTCGGGTACCAGGTGAACATTGTATCTGGCATTAGGTATGAGTTTCATCATTTACTATTTAGGTTTATTTAAGTCCAATGAAAACACTGATTAGTTTTTCATTCATTTAATTTATATGAGAGCAATGGTAAGGAAACAATGAGATGACCTTTTGATTTGAAGAATTTGAATGGTGAACATTTTTTATTTAAGGATCATTTCAATTGCTATATGATTATCTTAAAACTGTAAATTGATAATAGAACTTTTTTTGAACTCTAGTAGCATGGGAGGATATATATCCTCATAACTAAAGGTTCAATAAACATTGTAAGTGATTGTGACGTCATTTCATTATCATAAATTAATGAAGTTATGCCATATGTGGAATGTAAGGTAATATCTCTATAACGCGATAATGGTGGAGTAGAAGAAAGCTACTTGAGTTACTGCATAGTAAAGCAGATCCGCACATACAAATGACGTTCATTACTAATATTACTAACTTATGTATTGTTTAGGTATGTTTATGTTGTTTTAGTAATTGTGTATAATGGCTGCTATCTTAGATTATGGAGAGGTACTATTTTTCCCTTCCCTTAGTAGCTGCTAGTTAGATTCTTGTAGAACAACTTAGTAGCTGCTAGTTTTCAAGAAAGTTTTGGTAGTGAATTTTAGTTATTCTTGTAGAACAACTTATTCTAGACTCGATGCTTTAGTTAAGAACATGTATGGCATGACCAGCATGTGGTTTGTTCTTGTAGAACAACTTATTCTAGTTTTTTATTTTTTGCTAGCATGTGGTTTACTCTACAATGTATTCTAGTTTACCTGTAATTTTTGTGATGTTTGTAGAATATGAATGAGTGCCACCTAAAAAATTGAGAAATCAATTTCTCAATTCCTGGTGCTTCTTGTGTACATATACGATTGATATATTAATGCATAGGTTTTGCATAGAGGGGAACATTGGTGGAGCTCTATAGGGAACTTGGATTGCTCAAAACCTATAGGTATTAAATATATACATGCTTATTTATTATTTGATTTGTGCATGCATAGGTATATTTGATTGTTCAGATGGGAAAAGGATGAACCAAGTTATTCAAATTGATTTAATATATATATAGTCCGATTTATATTAGAGGCAATACATATGCTTTATGTTTTCTAATTCTCCACTTGCAGCATCCAAAAGGGCACTGCCAGGCTGCGCCCCACCGTCCGGTTGAGAAATTCAGCTCTCGTACCACTTGTCAGTTTTCCTCTTTGGATCAACAATGATCAGTAACCTTTGATCCGAGCAGCAGCCTTTGCAATAAGCATCACGTAGGTTCTGCTCTACAAATTCTTATGCTTTATGTAAGTGTTCAATCTTGTGTCTTCACCTTTGTTAATACTACTATTATGTAATTTTATTCATTTCAATTCTATCCAAATAATTCAAAAATAAGTTATAAATGCAACATAGTTAGTGTATTTTGGTTATGCATCACACAATCTATCACATGTTAATTACTTTTGTGAGAAACGTTTGCTGCTTTTCTTGCTTTAGTTTAATTATCAATGAAAACCATGTATGTTGGGAATAAATAAGTAAATGAATGGCAAGAAGATACAATGAATATTCAAGAAAAATTCATGCTTCATACATCACCTCTGCTATCTTCATATCATTAAGCTACACTGCTTAATGCCGGTATATGTTTTTATGAATGCATTTTTTTTTTGGATTTTCATGTATATGCAGCTCACTCAACATCGTTTACTATAGGTATTGATTGCTAGCATGATTTGTTCCACCTTGTACCATCATCCTTTTGATTATGTGTAACCTAGAATTAGTAATTTCATCATTGCATGAGAATCTTCAATCATTTGTTAAATACATGCAACATATGCAATAAGAAATTCTGAATATTAGCCTCTAACCTTGGATGTATTTTTCTATTTTGTTGTTAGTTATTTATTGTAATTGCATAGCTTATACTATAATTTACCTTTTAATTATGAGCTAAAAATCACCTAGCTTATCATTATATCATAATTGGCTATAATCAATCATTTATTCAATTGAAATAATAATGAATTTTCTATGAATGATGGTATCCTAAATATTTGAGAGTTAACTTTCCAACTTTCTAGTGGGATGACCTGTTATATCCATCCCAATATGATAGGGATAGAGATTGCTATGTACAAGGTGATTACCGATTCACATATGGCTATTGCAAGCACAACTCCCGGAAAATGGTGCCCACAGTTTCTCTTTTTAGCAGTTATATGGGTTTGCTTGCATTCAGCTATAATTTTTATTGTAATAATTGCTTGCCTGACGATCAAAACACTACTAGAAAATTTGTGGCTTTGTTGGAATAGTTAGAATTAGTTCTGCAAACCTTATCCAGTGTGTTTTAGAACTACTTCTTGTGTAAGTGTAGAGCAAAGCGTGATCTGGATTGTTTATTGTTTATATTTTTTTCGTTCATCTATTGTCACTACCAAAAAAACAGTTGTTTACTACGGCAAAAAAATCGTAACAAAAAGTCTTTTTTCATGCAATATACGTATTTGCTATGCCGTAGTGACGACTTCTATCCGTAATGTGTACTCGCGTAACAAATATTTTTTGTCACACTATTTTTGTAACAATTACTATCGGCCAACGGTCCCTATGAAAAGGTTTTTGTTACGATGTTTGTTACGAATTTTCTCTCGTAATCAAATGTCGAGATTTCCGCGCGTGTGACAGGGTTTTTAGTCACGGTAATTGTTACGAACTTTTCTTTCGTTACAAAAAACTAAGAGTGACCGCTTGTCTGAGTACGGTTTTCGTTACGATTTTTTGTTACGCTATTGGACCCGTAAATAAAATATACTTTCATATGGTCACAAAATCGGCCGTACCAACAAACATCTATTAACCACTTTTTGTTACATTGTTATATCATTTCGTTATGGTCACACAACTGGTCGTAACAACAAACATCCAAAACTAAATTTTGTTACGCCACTTTATCCTTTTGTTACGGAAAAATAACGTCATTTAAAAAAAAGTAGTTGTGATGCAATTAAATTCGTGCGTAACAAGTTGACCTGGTGTGATCTCCCTTATACCAAAAAAAATTATATATACAACCATGCTATAAATATCACGATCGACTATAATTGCAAACAATAGACAACTTAAAATCTGAATCCCAACATAGGATATTAACATAGCAATATTTACCAGTCGATGTCTATCAATTAACAATAAAATAAAGTAACCCATGAAATAAGTCTAGCAAACATTTTCATTTCGATATTATGTTCCGCAAAACGCAAACATTTCAAACATCCAACCTAGTAATAAGCAAGTAGAGATATCCATCTCCATAAACACAATTCTCACCACACGAAAGATAACTCCAAATGTCTATGAATCTAATCCATAGGTTGTTCACATAGCAACAACAACATACCATCCAAACACATTTACGGCATGCCATCCATACGACAAGCGGGGGAAAACATTAAGGAATCGTTTGATATGCTTCAGGGGTGGCGCATGAGCTGCAATTGCCAAAAGAATGAGGTTTAGTATAAGTCAAATTTTCTTTTAATTTGGAAGTCAATACATGAAAGGTATGAAAATAAATATGTACGTCGTTGTAGTTCCATTCAATAGGATCTTCACCAACAACATCGCGAATGTTAGTCACACCAGCAATGAGTCAATTATTATTTTTGTTGTAAAACAAGTTCCATATAACCTCATCTGGACAAAAATCTAGAAAACAAATCCTCTCGTTAGTCTCTGCAAAAGAAGACACAAAATGCAAGTCATCATCCAACATCCTAAAATTGAAATGATAAGTTTCAGCGTTATTGCAACAAGTATACATATGGACAACAAGAGTAAAAACAATATAATGGGCAGCGAGTATCTCTATAATTTTTGCCCTTTTCTTCAGAAATGGCAACAACAATGGACCATATCCTCTGGGATCGTAGATATCATATTCCTCCTGGATCGAACATATAAAGAGCACAAATGAATTAGAGTATACCGATGAACAGAAAATATACTGATGAAAAAAATCAGAAATAAACAAGTTATAATCGACAATATTGGAAAAACTTAATAGATAAACAAGTAATTAATTTATAAAGCTTTCATCCCCACACGGAATTGAACAACAAAAAAAAGCCACCAACAAACAGCTAAAAATGGGTTGCCATGGCCACCCACCCAATCCAGCACCAACACATGAATTAATTAACAATAATAATAATAATCAAAAAGTTTCAAGCCAGTCAATTTAATTAATTTGTTTCATTAAAAAACACAATGAAACTAATTCTTGATTTGTACCAACATTATTCAACAAAGCACAACTTTATAATAATTATTATTATTAGGGCGATAAATGTATGTATATGTATGTGTAAGGGGCATAGTGGTTTTTTTTTTTTTTCTACTTGGAATCAATGATAAAATGAAATAAGCTGATCTAGTAGCCTAAACTTATAAATTTAAATATTATTATGTAATAATTATATTAATCATGTGATTAATATAATCATGTATTGTATTGTGGACGTTTATAAAAAGACATACATACTTGCATATAATTTTAGAAAATGGTGTTGCTTCCGACAAAGGAGCCAGTACTTAGAGTGTAGATATAATATTATATTCATATTGTGTAGCATATGTATGTATCATTATCTAATTCATTAACAATATATGCATCTGAATCCGTATATATTGTGTCGTAGAATCCAATTAAACTTACTTAAATATCCATATATAATAACATGATTCAAAATTGTTTAAGGAAAGAAGCACTGTCTATATTGGATAAAGTTGCTAGACAATTGTTGTACTTCATTGCAATTATTGCAGGATGAAAAGATAAAATGAGTTAAAGTCTTAGGAGGATACACAAAAAAATAAATAAATGAATAAAATTCACAAAACCATCAAATCATATAATGTACTTATTAACTTGTGTGTGCACATTGTTTTTTTTAAATCTTGTTGCATCATATAATCTATACTAAAATAATCCTCTTCCCTTTATTTAATTACATCCAACACCTATTTTCTATTCAAAATATAATATCGAAAAAACATTTTTCTATTAAAAAAACTTCAAATCCAAAAATCCACAACACAAGCACACACCCTTTCCCAGAGTTTGTTTCCAACAAAGCACCAGGCTTCCAAATCTATAACTCAATGTATAAAAATATACAAAAGCATAATTTAAATCTAACAAAAGGAATTTCACAATCAAACCTAGATGACATTCTATAGTGTAAAATACTACAAATCTTTCACACTTATCGGCCACTGGTTAATAAGCTCTCATACATTAGATCATGTGCTTTGCTTATTGGCCACTGGTTTTTGTGGTTGAATCCCACAACAACCAACCCCAACAACAACCAATGAACAAATGAAATGGAAACACAAAACAGAATAAACGAAAATCACTGACGAGAGCAGGACAAGAAGAAATAAGGGAAGAGAAAAAATAGAGAAGCCACCTACCTGATGGGTCGACACCGGAGTCGTGTTCCTGTGATCGCACCAAAGGCCCTCACTTCAACGGGATCCTGTGGTGGGGGGAAGCCGAGCAGCGACCACCAGGCAAAGGAAGCTGCGAACATAAGAAAAATAAATAAGAAAATAGATATGAGAAAAATGTTATCACATATTTGATTTTCAACCTACAGCGGCGGCGGCAAGAATAGGAGAAGAGGACGAAAAAAAGAAAGAAGAAAGTTGGGGAAAAAAGGGAGGAGGGCGGCGGGTGGGTAGGGTTTATGTATTTTTACATATTTATTATATATATTTTATTTGTAGTAAATTATATATATATAAATAATTAATAATAAATTTTTATTTATATTTATTGTACATTGAATTTGTTAAAAATACATTTTCAATATTTGAAGTTTGATTATTTTTTAACTTTTAATTTTTTGATTACAAAAATTATAAAAATACATATCCATTTGTTACATTATATAATCGTAATTATTGTATTTACGACATTTTTTTTTCATATTTGTAATTGTTAAAATTACTTTTGTCACGATAAAAGTCATAACAAAAACCAACTTTTATAATGACGATATTGTTACGAATTTTCGTCCCGTAATGAAAGCCCTTTTTTTTGGTAGTGTGTGTTATATGGCTTTTCTTTTTTCTTGTCTTACTTTACGATGATTATGCTCAAGATGACGACCAATACGAGGAAAAGCTCAAGAAAGACACCAATATTTTACATGGTCTCTAAGTAAGATAAGTTTGGTTTTTGTTTATACTTATCATTTATGTTATTTATAGTAGGATTAAAGCTTACACAATGATCGATGAATGATATTCCTCATTAACTTCATCTCAAGATATATATTGTATGTATTTCAAAATTTTTCTTCATTGATATTATTCCAATCACTTGAGTTGCTTTACAATTATGGAGATGGTGAGCCAATTGATAATGTTGCTAGATTTTATAAATGGTCCACTGAGGTCAGTTAGATGGTTTTCAAGGAGATTGTCATTGTGGTTGCTTTATTGTTGTATATGGTCCCCGGCCCCCTTGGAACTTACACTTGGTAGACATTTACGTCGTCATGGATGTAGATACTCAACCTTAGAGCTGAGTATAGCCATTGCTATATAATTATTATTATTATTATTATTATTATTATTATTATTTTAACGAACAAAACCTTAGAGTTGAGTATAGTTGTTTGATTTACCAATATTATACTTTGACTTTAGTGGTTATGTTTATTTAGTAAAAATTATGAAAAAGACTGCACTTAGGAAATTTTTCTGGGTAGTTTGGAACTTTATATGCTGAACTTATATGTGATGTAGTATGCGAGTTTCAAATAGGATATATTTTGAATTTTGCAACATTTGAGAAACACCTTCATTATGTGTTGTTTCATTTGAGTCATTATTGATGTTTAAACCCAATATTATTGTTTATTTGTTAATTGTTGTGTGATATTCTTAAATTTTGTAAACATAATACATATTATTTGTTGTATTTAGATGATAAACCCGTATTATTGAAGGTGTTTTTCATATTTCCTATAGTCCCACATACCCATCTAACCATTCCCACGAGTGCTGGTGTTATCACCCTCAACGAGGTAATCAACATCGAGTCCATCGACTGAACGTATAAAGTTGTATGCAATTTCTTTTTTAATTATTTTTCCTTGAAAAGTAATTGAATTCATTGGCCAACGATTAATATACAACAAGTTTACTTTTTATTGTAGTTGATTTGCCACTCTTGAGTGCTGCTCAGAAAATTGCCGTAAACAACTGTCTGATTTAATTCGTATTTATGTTTATTTCTATATATTTTGGATGTTGGTAGTATGGATTGTGGATATTTGGATGTTAGGTATGTCTGAACATGATTGTTGGGGCAAAACATTGTATTTATATTTTTTGCGTGTGAAAAAACATCGGATATGTATTATTGTGTATGTTTCTATATGATTTTTGTATTTGGTATAAAATAAAATAGGTTTATGTTATTTGTGACGAAATTAATGTTGTATCAAAACTATTATTTTCATTATTTTTTTTAGGTTGTTACAAAATATTTTGTTACGGACATTAGGAAATTATAAAGTTTTATTATAACGGAAACTTTTCATAACAATACTTTTTCTAACGACCTTGAAGTATCTGTAACAAAAGGTTATTATCACGACGAAGGACTCTAATACCGATTTTTTGTAACAGATAATTTTGTTACAAAAAATGAGTTGAACTGTCACAAATAAATTTAGCATGTGCATAATAGATGCGTTGACCATCAACTTTTTGTAACAAAAATTGTCGTTACAGAGACTTTTTGTAGCTCAATTTTTTGTAGCGGTCAAAATCTGTTACAAAATCGACACAAAAGGCTTCTTGTATAAAAAAAATGAGTATTTGTATCAATTTTCTCCCCGCTACAAAAGGTCTAATTTCTGATAGTGAATACAACTGAACCTATACTTTGAGGAGGTCGTCCGGGACATTGATCCACATATTCTCATACGGCTCCTCTATGCATAGATTGTAGCCATTTATTCAGGGGAAGAATCATTTTTTATTTAGGGAATATACGACGGAGTGCTTCCCGTAGTATAACACATTCGAGAACTAACTGCTATTTCTAATTATTCCTATCATATTTGTCTAAATAAATGAAGTCATATAATTAGTAAAAATGGACAGCCGCCGAGTTGCCTTTGAGCAATAACAATGCAGACGGGAGTATTCAGTGTGGCTGAAAAGACAACTAATTGACTCGGAAATCCAGTTGGGGAAATCTAACATCCTTTTGAGTGTACGGGAAGTAGAGTGTAAGAAAAAGGTGTATTTCGATGTAGAGCACACTACAAAAAAACTAACTTTTTGTAGCGATAAAAAATTCGTAACAAAAACCTAATTTTTGTGCAAAAAAGCTTTTTGTGTCGACTTTGTTACGGATTTTGACTGTTACGAAAAGTCGCAGTACAAAAAGTTATTGTTGCGACAAAAGTTGTAACAAATAAATGATGGTCAATGCCATTAATATGCATGTGTTAGTTATATTGATTACGTTTTCTCATATGCAACAAAAGGTGCAATTATATTTTTGCTACGAAATATGTCTGTAACAAAAAATGCATTACAAAAGTGATGATCTTGTCAGAAAACGTTTTGTAACGGAATTTGTCCGTAACAAAAATTGCAGAACAAAAAGCTGATCTCATTTAGAGATCTTTTTATTACGAAATATGTCTGTAAAAAACTATGTGGTACTCACTGTGAAACTTCTTTTGTTCCAAAAAATGTCCGTAACAAAAATACAATACAAAAGGCGTATCTGCATCAAATAAAGTTTTTATTGCCACAAAAGAAAATACACTTGACTTCTTATTTGTTACGGACCCAGATGTGAGACAAATAATAAAGGAATACTTTTACCATAAATAATCCAAAATCCTTAACAAATCCCAAAAAATGACATCAATCCAACGATGATATTAGACATACCAAAAGTAAAAATATAACCATCAACAATACTTTAAAACATCCCCAACTATGACCGTATCTTAGACCATCATAACAACTAAGTAATATACGACCTCCAAATTAAAACATTATACGTAAAAAAAAAAATCAATCAACCACCAACAAAAAGTACAATCTAAAACTAACTAAAAACGACTTATTCAAACAACCAAGCTTGTCAATTGCATAATTACAAAGGCAAAAAGTCAAGGGAGACGAACCAACTGCAATGAAAAGCCAACACATATAACAATTTGTTACTATAGTTGAAATTATTTAGTTCCTAAAAGAATAAAAATAATACAAAAATATGTACACATCTTTGCATATCAAAGGAATTCAATTATTCAATTCCAAACTAAATTAAACATAATAGAATTCAATTAATTCGAAAAAATTTCACTATAAAGAAATAAGTAAAAATAGATCAATTTGATTCAAAATGATAAAAGTTAGATGTCTCATACCTAAATTAAGTTACATGAATTTTAATAATACACCAAAATAATTTAGACCCATATAACTTATGCAAAAACAAATTGTAGGTGTTAGTATGCACAAGTTACTAGAGCTATATGTAAGTTTTGCCAACAAAGCTCGATAAATTAACTTATTAAATCTTAAATAAGTCAACTGAAAAGTAAAACTATTTCAGTAACTAATTACACATATAGTTGATAATGACAAGAGATGAATAACCAAACTATTACAACAACTAATGATGCACTAACATATAACCAAACTAAACAACACACCCTAATGCTTAAAGAGACTAACCTACAAGTTACAACATGAATTATACATGATTAGGACAAAACTAAGCTATAAGAAATGAAATTAAGTTGCAGGGGATTAAATAATCTATATTACAATAGTGTTCGATACTACTACTAATCTAATAGTTTATCCTAATGGAGTCAAATTAGACTAAGCTATATGTTTAAATAATCAAGGCAATTTGATTTAAGGGGCCATTTGCTAACTAAACTAACAAGACTAATTTAAACCACACTAAGCTTAATTAATAAGTTCTACACCTAAAACAAGGCTATATGTTTAAAGAATCAATGCTAATTTGAATCCAAGCTTAATTAACAAGTTCTACACCTAAACGACTAAATAAGTTAATTAAAGGTGCAGCCCATCTTAGCCAAAGAAATCCAAGAAACAAAACAAGACAAACTATCCTACTGCAACAACCAATGTTAAGGAACTAGACAGAAATTAAATAGCCTAAACCAATCTAATCTATCCTACGACAATCAAGACATATACAAACAAACAATCAAGAAGCAAGCTATATATATGATAACTCTTGATTTTGCCATATTTTATAGCTTATATTTAGTTAATTATTTATTTATTTATGTCAAATTTTGGTATTATTTATGTTAATTTATTCTAATAATTGTATTCATTTCATATTGTTTGTATAATATTAATTTATTAGTTTTTAAGTGCAATTTATAATTATTTTGGTGTATAAATTAAATTAATTGATGTGTTTCTTGAATTATATTTTTTTGCATTATTTATGTGCTATTTAAGTATTTAATTTTAACTAAATTATTTTTATTTAA